ATCAGTCTTAGAACAAAGGAGGCACCCAGGTCAAAGGCAGCAATACACTCCTGCATTCTGCTGCTCCCCCCCCATACATTTCATTTTCTATTAACCCTTTCCTCCTCATCCCTTCGTCTTCATCCCTTCTCCCCCTTCGTATATCTAGCGATCCTGTTCCTTTGTGTGTGAGTCAATTAGCTGGCCCTTTAGTTTTGATTTATAGAGCATGGGCCGCCTATGGCCTAATGGATGGCTGTGAATTTAATATGCAATGCTTTTGTGTGTGTGCATGTGTGTGTAAGACAGGGAGATAAATTAAGGACCAGGAGACACAATAGAGGTCACAGAGGTATCACTTGCTATACTGACTGTGTTTAAATTGGTGCTGGTCGGTCCCTCTCTTGAAAAAAAAAATCTGCCTGTAATCCTGACATAATAGATTATGAACAATAATGGAGTGACTGGAGTGCTTGTTTAAAGTCTCTCAATATCATTAGCATGTGGAAATAATTAGTCCTTTCATAATGAGTGAAACCTGCAATTGTTATTTGTGCGAACAAAGGGCATCACCGGGCTGCAGAGATGATTCATCGGCTCATATTTTCATCCTCTTTGTTGCTGAGTTCAGAGATTAGCAGCACAGCCTGCCTTGGGGTAGCAGGAAGGAGAGGTCAGGATAGGTGCTAGCATACATCACAATCATCACCCTTATCATCATCGTCATCTGATTTTTGTAATTCACACGCTATGACCGGAGGCTATTTGCTCCAATACAAATCAAGAGGCCCTGTGTTGGTGGTTTACAGCAGGGTCATGAACTCTGAAGGCCAGATTTCACACTGTCTGAAAGGGGGCCTGTTAGTCCCTTTCTGCCCACACACACTGACAGCATATCATCACTGTCAGGTGGAAACATTTCATCTTCACAATGCCAATGCTCGCTTTTTTGGAACAAACATTTTCCTCCTTTTAGAAAGGGGAAAAGATCTTGGAGATTTTTCTACACAGCACAGAGACATTTGATGATTTATCACTCATTCAGTGTCAGATTAAATTCATTTATATTTTAGCTTGACATATCTCACCCAACATAACTGCAGAAGACAAGCACACACACACACACACACACATCCCATGGCAATAGTGCTTTCCAACAGTAGGGGCCTTTCACAGAAGAACAGCTCGAGTAACATGACAAAAAGCCCAAGGCATTGACCCAGCCAGGGAAATTCCCCAGATCCCAATTCGATCAAGCATCTGTGGCATGTGCTTGAACAAGCCCAATCCACTGAGGCTCCACCCTAGAATTTAATGGATCTGCTGCCAATTTCTCTGTTTCAGACACTACAGGAGCTGCTCAGAGATCCCGTCTTCATGTCCTAACAGTCCTAACAGCTGTTTTGGGGGGCATAACATTAGGTGCAAGATTTTAATCCTGTGGATGGTCAGTGTGCATATCAAAAGTGTACTAAAATGGTAATATAATAATGCAGTAACATAGTAACAGTCAAAACTTGGAGCACGCTCATGGTAGTTCTAAAAAATAGCGTGTGCCAAGAAATGTATAATAATAACAGGAATATGCTTTGAGAAAGGTTTATTTGTAGGAGGCCAAAATTTCTAACAATATTCCATCAAAATTGTTCTTTTCTTTTGTTTTCATCTTTTAGGTGAGTCATCCATGCATCCATCCAACTTTCTTTCTTCTAGAGAAGCAGAGATGTGCAGACCCCAGTCACCTCATTCAGTGGTGTAGCAATGCATGCTCAAGGCAGCTAAGAGACAACAGCTAGTTATTCTGTAGGTGTTCAAGGGGTTATAGTATTTGCCCATATCAGCTCACCTAGCTCATTTCCATGTGAGGAACTAAGCGCCTCTACTTTCCGTATGACCAAGCCTCTCCTGAATGGCTGAGATCAACCCCAGGGGAAGACATGCTTTCAGGCTGAGGCTGGTTTTCAGGGCATTAAAATGTAATACTGTAACAATAATGGTTTGATAAACAAACAGTGCTGCTTTTTAGACTGAATGGTACACTGTCATTATTCGACTGCCGTAATGTTGCTGATGTGGTCAGGATGCCTATGGGTGTTCAGTCAGGTGTGCAGTCAGTGTTTTGCATTTTAGCTTGAGAATTTTCATACTGTCTTTGTGATAGCCTTTGCTGAGCTGTTATGGATTTTTTTTCCCACAATGATGATCACTTTTTAACACAAAGTGACTCCTGTGAAAGACACCAACCATAAATACTTTTCCCAGTATTTCCATGGTTGACATTAAAGTTATTAACTAATCTTTGTAATCAAACATGTTGTTTTGCAACATACAGCGAAACCGTCAGGGCCAAAAAATACATTTCCCTAAAACTTACAGGTAAAGGATATTTTTATGTCTCGCCAACAAATTATAGGTATGCCTCTGCAATTTAGTGTAATTATTTATTTCTAGACTGAAACTCCATTGAGGATTCTGAGAACTTTTAATGATCATAAGATCACATACTGGCTGATATTAAATCAATTTTTTAAAATTAAGGTAAAAGATGAGTCGATGCTCACATGGGATTTATAAGGTATACATGTTATGGAAACAGCCCAGCAACAGCAGATGTATAACTGTGGTGGCTGCCCTGGAGGGCCACTGATAATACTCAGTCTAAATGACCTCATTAAGAGACCTTTGTTTTTTACCTTTTTCATCTCAGTGAGACATCTACAAAGCTGCCACTTCTTTCATCAGAGGTGATGAAAAATCACCATTTCTTTTTCCACACACAGTGGCTGCAGAGTACGTGCGTTCTTGGACGTGAGCAGAGATTATTAACAGTTTAATGGCTAACAAAGCCTGACAGGTGCTTCACTCACTGAGATTAAGGACCAGTGGGTTAACGACCCTGTGGGTGAGACTGTCATAACTCACAATAAGACCATTAAAGTGATATTACTGAGAAAGACTTTGGCTGATATGGACTCAACTTCCCAACAAGGTGGCACTAGATGGAGGGTTCCTGTCATTTTTCTCCCCCCCCCCTCC